CAGTTAGAAGGGTCCATTTAATTAATGTTAATTGCTCATAGTTCATTGTGTGGCTCACACAGGATTTATAGAACAGCATCATGTATAGATCTACATTTAAAAAATCACTGCTTTTATCTCAAGTTTTCAAACTCTTTTCCAGTTATTTATATTTTTTCATGTGTAACACAGTCATACAAATATGACTTGTATTTGCTTTATTTGTGGAATGTTTGAGATATCTTAGGTATGGAGGGTTGGGTGGGAGAAGGAGCATGGACAAAAGCCAGCTCCAGCTTTGCATTGTGTTTTAGTTTTTTTTTTTTATTATATAGCAATAGAATATGTCCTCTGCTCAAACAGAGAGCTGATTTATCAAGATTCTCATCTCCTTTTTTCCCCTTCTTGGTTCACATGTTTCTTTCAGCTCATTTTTGTATGGGTGATTTTATTCTTTCTTAGAGACTGTTTCTGGGTATTTTCACCCCCACAGCATGCTGGCTACAAAGAAGAAGTGACAGGTTTGAAATAAAGGTAATGATAGCTAATGGTTCATATAACTGTGCCAGTGCAATCAGAAAAAAGCACTCAAGCACTTTCAGATGATAGCTTCTGTGCAAAATAAAGTTAGCAGATTAGAATGAAAAAGGGAATTAGTGGTTAGGAACAGAACTTTGCTGTTGTATTATGACATACAATATCTTAGGATCACGAACATTATGCCTTTTAATATTTATCAGTATCTTAACCCCACCTTCCTGCTTTGTCCAGTCCCTCAGTTGTCTCCTCTTTAAATAATGACAGTCTTAAAAACATCTCTTATTATGTTTCAATGGCATTCAGTAATGTATTCTATATACATCTATAATACCTTTGTGTGAAGTAGGTCTGTATTAGCTTCTTCTGTACTCTTAATGTTCATGTCCCCTAACTTTTAAAACCCTGGGGCCAAATCCTGCTCACCTTATGCAAGTAGACCCATTGCCATGGACGAGACTAATTTCATGACTAAGTTAAGGATTTTGCCCTTTACCTGTGTGAAAAGTATGTCTTGATCCCTTTCATAAACCCCTTTAATAATTTTGAAAGCCTCTATTTTGTCCTCTTTACTACTGAAAATGAGACTATCTACCTGCATTTTTCCTTATAACTTACATTGTCCAAGAATGTACCCAGTCTTAGTGATGATCAATCATTGTTCTTCAAATTCCTCTTTAAACTTATTCCTTCCATCACTTCTTACCTGTTTTGGTCCCCCATTGTTTATACTAATTTTAAAAAGGAACAGTATATAACAATCTGAGTGATTTCTCACTGTTGCATATCTTGCCTGGTGATACCATCTACCCGTACCCTTTATTACTATCATCCCTTGCTGTGTTAAGGCTTATTTGGACTCTAAGATCCTTGGGACAGGGACCTGTAATCTTATTTATAGCTATGGTGTAGTATAACAAAAATAGTCCACAAATATAGTTCCATGTGGGACCCAATATGTGCCTTATTATCACCAGGGCTGGCTCCAGGCACCAGCGCAGCAAGCAGGTGCTTGGGGCGATCAACGGAGAGGGGCGGCACGTGCGGGTCTTCAGCGGCAATTCAGCGGCGGGTCCCTCAGTCCCTCTCGGAGGGAAGGACCTGCCGCCGAAGTGCCGCCCATCGCGGCTTTTTTCTTTTCTTTTATTTTTTTCGCTGCTTGGGGCAGCAAAAACGCTGGAGCCAGCCCTGATTATCACCTTATTTTATATTCTCTTCGCTAATTCAACAGAATAGCATTCTTTTTTGCATGCAGTTCTGCATGGTTTAAGCCCCCCTCCTCCCTCCAATAACCCTTTTTTCCTAACTGGGCTATATGATTGTTCCATTTAGGACATATTCTCTGACCAATTATATTACATTTTTCTACTGTGAACTGCATTTTCCATCTGCTGGCCTAGTTACCTACATGAGCCAAATAAATTAGAATCCAGTTGCTTATTCCAAATTATTTGCTCTAACTCTAATTTGAATATCATTTGCAAAGCTCGAGATCTTATTTTCATTGCTGTCATCTAAATCATTGGCATGGACCTGATTAATAATAATATTAAATGCTTACTGTCCATAGGGCTTTTTAAGACAAATTCTGCCCTGAGATAGACGAGAGGGACAAATACGGCATTTGATCCTCAAAGGACATTACAAGCATTGATTCTGATCCTGTGAGATACAGATCACATCCTTGAAGGTGCTGAGCACCTTCCATTCCTGTTGACATTACCTCACAAAGCTTAAGTGACTTGTCAAAGCCAGGGCTAGAACTCAGGTCTAGAACCCTGAAGTACAAGATACATTCTCCCATCAAAACCATCACCTTCTATCATATAGCCATTTAAATCTCTTAACAGTTCATTTCCAACCCATGCCACCTGTATGCTTAGGAGAGGCATGTAACAGCCAACTGTCTAACCAACAGGAATATCAAGTAGGTTAACCTGCACGCAAATTAACCTGTAATTTTATTCATGGCTCATTATAGACTTAATTTTGAAAAGTGACCTCCAATTTTGCACCTGCACTTTTGCACCAGAAATAATTGCAGGCACCATTTTTCAAGTGAAAATAATTGTAGGCACATTGTATAGCATTAAGACATCCTACAAATTAACTTCAGGCAATTAGACACCTAATTACTTATTTGCACCCACAAAAACTGCACCCTGCTCAAAATCAGAGGCTGAACTGAGGCCTTTTTAAAGGTCAGGGCCCATAGTGTACCTTCAAATTATTTTAATCACAATTAGGCCTTGGTCCTGCAATGTAGTGTGAGGGAATACTGCTGTACCTATGTGGAGCTCCATTGGGGTGTTCCATGCAGCTGCACCAATTGGTCCAATACTACACACTGTAGAAAGAGCTTTAGGCCAAATCTACACTTGAAAAGCTTTGCTGGTATAGCTATATCAGCAAACCCTCCTAGCATAAATGCAGTTTATACCAGTTCTCCAAAAGAAATGAACTGTACTGTTAAAAGCATTGTGTTGATAGTATAACCACATCTACACTATAGTGTTTGCCAGTATAAAAATGTTTTGTTTTTTTTAAATCACACCTTTACCCCACTGATATATCAGCAGTAGTTTCTAGTCTAGACCGGCTTTTGACACTACCTTTCATTAAATGTGATCAGTGTACTGTAATGCTTGTGATTGTCTTACTTATTTCTATACTAATTCTCTCTCTATATAAAACCCGCTTAAAACATCACATAGAACAAATTGTCAACCCTTGTGATAACATCTGAGGACAATGACTGTAAATATTCTTGTTCTTTGGTAACAGATGGTTTTGGTACAAATATTTCTACAATTAACAAGCAAAAGATTGGGATGTGCATTAAGGTTGAGGTGATGTTTGTATTATATGCCCAGGTTCTGTGGGTTTTAACATCTTGGCCAATTTGGGTTTCCAAATCATCCACCAACATGTACTTTTATTGTTATTCAAAAGTGGAAAGTTGATTTATATTTTCTGAACTCTGGGGGTATTAAAAAAAAAAAGATGGGAGGAAGAAAGTGAAAGACTAGCTAAATCCTGGCTTCAGTATAAGCTTACAGCCAAAAAGGGTACCTTGCAGTACAACTATTGTACTCCACTCCTAGCTCACTCAACTACTGAGGAGTTCAGGTTCCATAGTTCCATTATGCACTGAGCTGTAGAGCAGCATTTGTGGTTGGGCACTAGGGGTCAAGATGCATGGTCGGTTCATAGAAATATGTAGATCCTCCTGTAACACACCATCTGCTGCTAAAATTACTCTTGCTTTTGTCAAGAGCAATCTGCAAGTACTGGTATGTGAGAATTGTATAGGCAGCAGAACATGGGGGCAAATTTGTGTTGTTTTATGGGCTAAAGTGAAGAGAACCACATTTTGGACTGGGGTTCATTTCCATCACTTTCTAGAACTAAAATGGCTTAATTAAAAATACTTCAACTATATTTGAAACTCAAACACATTCAAATACAATAATTAGAAAAACATGTAAAATGTGTGCTTACAGATTGGGGCAAAGCACTCCCCAAACAGTCTCTCCATCATGTTCCAAAATTCAATTATCTGCTGCACACCCACAAATTAACAAAATAAAAAGAGAAAAAGAAGTTGAGACAAAAAATTTATAATATATTTCTTTCATTCCAGGATATGAGTCACAGGGAAGACAAATAGCCTTTATCAGATTTAAAGTTAATTTCAGATTCCTTTTGAATGAACATTTTTGCCATATTTTGTTTACTGATATACAACAGATTGCAGAACTTTTGAACTTAATATTAAAAAATATAGTTTTCCATAAAGTTAGTCACTGCAGGAGATCAAGTTCTCTTTTACTGGTTGATTTGTTTCTTTTATGATATAAAACCAATGTTAAGCATGTGTAAGAATTTATTTATTTTCAGAACAATTTTTTCCCCTAAGCAATAACGTGCCACTTATACAATGTTAGTCATGAATGCCAGGTCTCACAGCAAAATTTTGTTACAGTCCTAAATTTCATTTAACTGCTGGAGTACAAACCACCATTCACTCATAGGAACATTAATGCAGTTATAAAATAAAACAGTTACATGAAATTAGAGCCTGTAGCATAATAGGGGCCTGGCTCTCTGGGGGATTCAGGGTGCCGTGATATCTGAACACAGTGAGGTAAATTGAGGACACTATATTATATAGCAGACAGACTATCTAGGACTCAAGCTGCAAGGTACTTTACATCCACATCTCCCAGCAATGTCAATACTGGGAGGGGTATTTACCACTGCTTCCCAGTTGTGTCAGTGGGAGCTGAGGGTGCTCATCACTCACAGGATCAGGCCCTTTAATTTATTTTCTTTTGTTTTTCTCTCTCAACCTTAATACATTAATTTTTAAAGAGTAATTATGTATAATATATATTTGAATCGCTGGCTCCAGTCAAATTGAAGCTGGCATTTCTGAGGAAGGACAATGCATTACAAACCGCTATCTGATTTTTTGCCCACAGTGATTGTGACTGATGTCATCTAGCCAGTCAAGCAGCAAGTGAACATCACAATTGGAGCTAACAAACAAAACAAAGAGATGAAGCAGTTGATAAGAGAGGACCAGTTGATAAGAGAGGACCAGTGGAGAAGAGAACTGTTCTTCACTAGGCTTTACAATATTTCTGTTAAGAAAGAAAAGAACATGGCTCTTTTTTTGTTTTTATATCTTTCATCAAGCATTCTACCACACAGAATTCTGCCACTTCATTATCTGTCTAATAGTATTCTGGAAAATATACAGATTTTGTTGTACACTAATTTCTCTTTGCATCAAAGAGTAAATAAATGCCATTGCCATGGGATGATTTCCTATGAGCATATGGGACTCATGCAGGCCTTGTACACAAGGAGGTGAATTTCATATAGAACTATCACAGCTATGCTTTGATGGTGATGTTCACCTCTCCCACACAAAGCCATACTAATCCTTTCTAAGAAGAGGTCGGGAATGGCATCCACCCTCTGCCCGCAGGGCTGCAATACAGTCTTTCTATAGCCACTCCCTGAGCTGCATGAGTTCCCAGCCACTGAATAAATATGGATCCAGCAGCCCCCTTTCTGTCCTACTCCTAATGTTCCCTTCTACATCAAGTGTCAGGGAGCTCACTTCCCACTGCATGCATGGGATGTGGAGACCCATCTGCACAGCTGTTCTTCCCTAGGCATACCCCCTCCTGTCCCTGCCAGGGCTTCTGTGCCATTGAGACCCTGCATAAGTTCCTTGGTAAATCTACATGAGGGTGATAAGTGCTCTCAATTTCCCCTGACATTGATTTCACCTTTACAGTCCATCTAGATGATGGGGGGGGGGAGAGGAAGAAACTTTTAAAAATTGAGTTAATAATTGTTTCAAATCATGTTAGTTAAGGTGTAAACTGTCTATACAAGGTCTTAAGGGATGTTTCAAATCACGTTATGCAACAATTTAAAAAGCACGTTTCTTTTGTAATTTAACAGACCCTTAGAGACTAGTGACACTTGTAGTTTCTGTTTCTCTATCCCAATAGATCACAAACCAAGCTTTAAAGGTGACATGCAAAGTGGTAACTTTGGGCTTCTTCCTTCTTTTGCTTTATAACATATAAAGGCTTCCCCTTCAAAAGTTGACTTTCTGCTTTTCAGTATCAGCAAGTCAAGTCTCTATGGATCCTGGAAAACTAGTGAAGTTGTGACTTCACATGATATTGAAAGTTGAGCAACAAAGAGCAGAAAGGCATCCTACTTGTCAGTGTTTAAAACTCTTTGTATTTTGTTAACTATTTAATTCTAAGCCTAATAAACATTTACTCTTCTGTCATGGCCTCACCTGAGTCAGTGGATCACCTGGCAATGTGAGCTTGCCTGAATTTTTCAGCAGTAAATAGCTATTGAAGTTAAGTTGGCCACCTGGGCTTTAAATTCCCAACACATAAAACAATTGTCTAGTGCTGGCTCAACTGAAAAGGTACAGTGAGAGCTCAGCCCCAGACTTGGCTAGGCTTCTTAGATTATGGTAGAGGAGATCTTTCACCCCGAACTGGTCCCTGGAGAAAGCAGACAAAACTTTTTAATCTTGCCTGCTGGGCCTGATTGGCTTCTGACTGCTCCCAGCCTCTGGAGAACCAGAACTTACTGGTTCTGCTAGCAGCTGATTCTGGGTGGCCTCTCTAAGCTGTTCTGGAGGTCTGAACTCAGTTTCCCCTGGAAAGTACCCCTTCTTCAGGCAGTATGTGCCAAGGTGATGAGACCTCCAGCAGGGGGAAGCAAAATCATGGTACACCCCACTTCCCTAGTTATCAACCCTAGCCAAGCTTTGCATTTCCCCTGCCATCAACTCTGCCAATATTCCCACAGTCTTGTCTGTCCATATGTCAACTTCTCACCTCTGTGCCTTCTTCTCTGAGCCTCATATGCATGGAACAACCTTCCTAAACTCATCCACAGTGCCTAGAGCCTGTCCACATTTAAATTCTGCCATGCTGCAATACAGTGTATCAAGTTGTCTTGTATAGAAATTGCACATTGTTATTCCACTTCCCCTAACTTCTGTCTACTAGTCCCTCTGGCAGGACTGCAAGTTCCTTGCAGCAGAGATCATCTTTCTTAGGGGTCTGGAAAGCACCTAGCACAGAGTAGGCACTACTGAAAATACATAATATGAGAGACTATCTTCATTAGAGATTTGTGATGAATCCACAGAACCATGCGAGGTCAGCAAGAGGCGTTTTGATGAATCTGCTGGGTGAGAGTCTTTTGTGACTCTTTCCCTCCTGGGTAGGGATGTAGGTGAAGAAGGTTTTCTGGCAGTAGGAGGGCCAGCATATAGAGGAAGAATGTTTGGGTTCTCCTGGGGGAGCACAGTGTCTGGTGGAAGTTGGTGGAGTGTTGTGTGGGCCCCACCAGCTGTTAGAGCCTTAGCAGCCAAAGTGCCTACAGTTCGTGCCGGGGCCATCGTGTGCTACCAGGGTTCAGCTCAAGACAAAGTTTGATAGCACACCACTCCAAAGACCACACAAGTAGGCACTGATTACAATACAGCCAACCCCAAAAGTTCAAGAATCACGTCACCCCCCACAAAACCCATGACACTGTCCCCAAATTTTTTTATAACTTTTAAGAATGATTATATTGTAGTATGTGATCTGTCTTTTCATTTTGAACTCCCCCTGCCACTCACATATGTGTGTGTCATTCATAATATTGGCAACTCTTTCATATTTATAGAGTAAAGTGATTTTGAACTCTGCAGCAGGAGCTCTCATTGGAAGACCCAACTGAGGTCAAATTATATGGATTTATTGCCTGATGGGGCATGGCTTCTCCCCAAACCCAAATATTCTAACTAATTCTGTGCCCTCCAGCCCCACATTTGGCCATCCCTTAGTCCATCAATTAATTATACACACCCCAGCCTCCGTGTCAGCTGTGCTCCACCCAGCCACACACCTACCCTATGGCCCCTAGCCTCACCTCTGCTGTCCTCCTGCAGCTCCAGGAGCTCTTCACTCCCTCTTCCAGGCCTGCTGGCATCACCCCCCTTTATGTGTATGGTAGGGGCTGCTTCTTCTCCCCTAGCCAAAAACTCCTTTCAATGGCTGAGGGGAGGGTGTCTGATGCCTCTAATAGCAGCACCGTAGCTTTTCCCCAGGAAGCAAGGAAGACACAGAGGGGTTTTTCCTCTCTGCTGGAGTTTTGGTCAGCTTCTCCCATTGAGATTCTGGAGAGGCTGGGTTAGCTTTGGGCCTCTGTTGTGAGCTGAATCCATGTACCTCAGTTGATAAAACATCCTGTAAACACAGCAGGCTCAATTCTCTGCTCAGTGCAGGAACTGGGAAGCAGGAGAAGGCAAAGATGGTTTTAAGACACTGGGTCTGGCCCAAAGTGTAATTTAGAGCAGCTGCAAGATTCCTTTAACTTACATTTGGGTTCTTAAGGCCACATGGGGCTATGCCAGCAATTGAAAATAGCCAGAGCACAGTTGAACCCAAGCCATGTCCCCTTTTTTTGGTCATGTCCCTTACACCAGGAGTGGCAAGGGAGTCACATACAGTAGGAATGCCAGCTCTATGACACGAGGGCTTCCCACCTATGCTGGGGGTATTTCCCTTTATTTTGATCCAGTAGTATTAAAACTCTCTTTAGCAATTGCGGGAACACTAATGTAAACTCACTGCCAGTGCTTTAACCACTGTGTCCACTAATTCTGCTGTGAATAGGTGTAGATGGCACTCTGGTTAAAATCCTGGCAGCCATGGGAGGGCTTGTCCAGACTGGCACTTTCAGAATTGCTCCTGCCAGTGGAGCTACACTGATGTTCAGGCACCAGTGGGAGGGAGGGTGACCAGGGTTTTTTAGGGGGAGGAATCAGTAGTGGTATGAAATAGCCTTGTTGGGTGACTTTGGGGATTTGGGAGAGTGTTGTTGTTTTTTGGACTGTGGTTGTAGTTGTTTTGTTATAAAAATGAACCTACAATATGTAATGAATGTACATGAACTCTGTACCTACAACTCTCATTTAAAAAAAAAAAACTAAATAAAAAATATTTTTAATTAAACAAATTAACTAAGGCCTGGTCTACACTTAAACTTAGGTCAATATAGCTACAGCACTCAGGGGTGTGAAAAATCCACACTCCTTATGCTGATGTAAGGGTGCAGACACAGCTAGGCTGATGGAAAAATGCTTCTGATGACCTAGCTGCAATTGCTCGGGAAGCTGGTGTTCCTTCCTACAGAGACAGAAAAACCCCTTCTACACAACGGGGGTTATGCTGACATAGCTACGGCACCGAAGCTATGCCACTATAACCCCTGTTGTTTAGACATAGCGTTAAAGTTATGACTTTGCTCCAGGATAGCACACAGCATTTCATCTGGTTCTTGTGAGTTTTCTCTTTTCTGTAAATTCCCAGAGTATGCTATGATTAAGATGGTATTGACCTGTTTATTCCCTCTGAGCAGCATGAGTCGTACAGACTCCTCATTGGGGCTGTTGGGGGAGCTAGTTGGCTCTGGGGATTGTGAAAAGCCAGAGCTACAGGAGGTAGCTTTTTTTTTTGTTTTTTTTTAAACTTGCTAATAGTAGATTCTGTGGGTGTACAACTGCTGACAGCCACATCTGAACACTGCTGCAGAATTCTATCACCCATGCTGCAAATATTGGGCCTGCAGAGCTGTAATTTCAGAGCTTCTGCCTTTGTATCACCAATTGTAGATTGTATTTTGGTGCTGAAATTTCAGCAGGTGACTATAGCATTCACTGATCTGGCTAATTTTTATAGGCAATACTAAAAGCTAGCACCAGAAATAGAGAAAGACTTGTCTGTAACCTGAAAATGAGCTACCCTCTCCTTTCTTTAAAAGGCAATCATGGTACAAAACCTCAGCTTTGAGATCTTTAGTATACAAGAAGTTAAAATTGAATGATGTGCAGAGGATAGATACTTTACAAATGCATTAACATTGCAGCTACATTTGAAATGATAAAGGACAGAGTTAATCATGGAGTAACTGTACATAATCTCATGAACTGTTCTCCACTGAGGTCATAATTAACCGTCTGCATGCATAGAGCTGCCTAGTAATGTTTCCTAGCAGTACTTACCATCCACAAGGATCTGGCATTAGGTTAGAATGGCTTACACAGAGCCATTTAGAAACTGTACTTTTCATCAAATGGTACAGTACTTTTGTCTGTTCTGATTAGGAACAACACTTGTTTTCTAGCTTAAGATGCAGTGACAAGTGTCAAAGCAAATTTGTCAGCAAAAAACATACTGAAGTGTCAATCCTATTGGATACACACAGATAGAAAAATCATAACCCTAGTGCAGCAAAATAAGGATGGACATAATTGTCACTATAATATCCTAATTTTGGACTGCAAATTTGAAAGCTGTGTAATTTGATTGGTTAGATCTGTGATTTTTTTTCTCCATGTTACAATTACTGAACCAGTACTTGTTTTTTCCCAGTTTGTAGAGTATCTTATTTTAGCAAATTGTTTTTGAGGTATATTAGAGTAGATGGAAGAAAAAGGGGGGGGGAGTATTTAAGCATTCCACAACCTTGTAATATTTCAGACAGAACAAAGAAGAGAAAACAGCTTTGTAACTAGTTCAAAGCTAATCTTTCTAGTGATCGTGTAAAATTTAGACTTTAATATGAATATGAGCATGAAATGCCTTCAGATATCAGCCCACATTACAATCTGCTACTTTGTTTTGAATGAATGGGTCGTGACTAGAAGTTTAAGTGGTAGCTACAGATAAGATTCAACAGAGTACTTTAATGATATCCCTTTTCAAGTTAGCTGCAGGAAATATTATTTTCATTTAATTTGCTGGAGTCCAGGGAGAATATAATTTTATTTTCCTTTATATAAAATTAACAAACTCGTGTAGTTCAAAAGCCAATGCCAAAATCTTAATTAAAATGGACATTTTCTCAAATCTTAAACATGTTGTTCAGAAAAAAACATCCTGCCTGAAATAATTTTATCTTTGCTCTTCAACTAAGGGAAATTCCAAATGAATATTTTGTATATGTCTCGGTGGTAACGAATATTTGTTTCACAATGCACCTGTTTAAAAACAAATCTTGTTATGATATTAATTTATAATGGATTCTCCTTCACTTTCCAAACCATTCACTTTCATTTGTTTTACTCCACAGTGTCTGTTAGTAAACTAATGTTGTGTATACATTAATAGCAATTTTGAAATCATCTAGATTCAATATCTACCTTAATCATTATGAGACACAAATCCTACCCCCCTGTACTGTGGGAATGGAAAATGCTCCTGCAATGGAGCTGGTGTTGTTCCACCATGCAGAAATGGGATGTGGAAGAGAACAGGAACTGTAAGTTAAAATTCCAGGTCAGACAGGGGATGCAATGCCTCCCTGCCCCTGCATGGTGCTGAAAAGGACTGGAGTGGGGCAAGATGGGAAATGGCAGGGCAGGCTGGAGGATCTCCCACTGCACACAGGATGACCAAACAGCAAGTGTGAAAAATCGGGACAAAAATCGGGGGTAATAGGAGCCTATATAAGAAAAAGACCCCAAAATCGGGACATCTGGTCACCCTAACTGCACAGATCCTTTAGTCCTTTCTGTACCATAGACCCTACCCTGAACCTTGGCAGGAGTAGTTACCACAGAGTGAGTCTGGTGTAACTGTGTATGCCCCACCTGTTTTCTCCCTTCCCCTTCTCCTCCTCCATTAATAGAGTCCCCAACCCCAACAGAGGTACTGAAACTTGGAAGAGGATTTGAAACTGTGGGCCAAATCCTGAAGTTCTTATTCTCTATTTATACAAAACTCTCGCTGAAACCTGAATAAGGAGTGTGGTATTTGTCCAAATAAATTAATATCTCTAAAATTTAATAGTGGCTTCTTATTTACAGGGACAACTTATATATCCTTTGAGGAATGATAGCTGTTTATTCTGAATGGATGCCTCAGGTCCTTCCAGCCCTGTTATTTCCCAAGTTCAGTTTCATTTGATCCTTCATACTGTACTCCAAAGTACTTTTTGAAATGAAGAGCTCTAATCCACTAATCTGTAACCCTTAGGAGGAAGGCTCCTTAGGGCTGTTGCTTCTCAATAATCTAAGCAGCAGCTGATATATGAACCTAGTTGGCAAAGATGCCATAGCATAGCTATTTCTTGACTGTGATGTAAGACAGTGAAAGCATTTTCTTCCAGGCCAGCTTTCATTATCATTTGTACCAGGGTCACATTGAAATAGCCTTAAAAGGACATAGAAAGTAAATATGTCGTTCCACAAACGGAGACCCACAAAATTTTTTTTATTAATTGTAGCCAGGATTTGACACATATCTATTATGCTGATTTTAATGTTGGGGGGTGATAAGCCTAGTATCTGAACAAAAAACCTTAGTTTTGGGGGGATTTTATGGTTTTCTTCCAGGCTAAAAGTGTATACCATAAAAATTTGCTTATACCAGGTAATGCAGTGAAAATGTTTGCTAAAAACTGAGACCACAGGGAATTTCTTTGGGTTTCTGTTTGGACTCCGTGTCCTGCCCAGGTTCATAGCAATGGTTGTGAGGTGGACCACATGTTATGGTGTAAACAAGTTGAGAATCAAGATAACCTTCCTTTTCGCCCCCATCCATTCTCTGGGATCCACTTAACTTTGAAGTGTTCAAAGCAGAGGCCCAGTGACCTGCAACCCTCCCTCTGATGTCTTCTGGGATGGAAGTTGGCCAGATTTCCCCCACCCCCACCCCGACCGTAGCACCAGACTGAAGCAGGATCTTTGGAGGACCAATACGGGGCTTCTGAATTTGGGATTATGAAACACTGGGATCCAGTGATCTGCCTACCTGTTGCAGTAAGGTTTTACCTGAGTGGCTTGCAAACCCAACTGCAGAACCCTCCTCTTTTATCTGGGCTTATGACCAGCACTGTTAGCAGTAGCAGAGTTCCCCTCACAATAGCACAGTAAAAACTTTCTGGTCACAGTGGGAAAACCTGGAGTTTAAAGATAAAATATATAGGATACGGGAGAGGCCAGTGGGTTGTGGATGCAGGTACCAGCTGGTTATACCGGATACACTGAAAAAGTAGGGGGTCATGATCTTAAAACCACTGGACATTTTGGTGTAACAAAAACCTTAGCTAAGCTAAGGGATTAATTCTGTTTCGTAAAAATGCAGAAAGGAAATATAAAATTGGTGCAGGAAATGTGATACTTGTGTTGCAAAGAAGGACCCACTCCCCTTAAAGTGAGAGAGCCCTTTAGCAGCAGTATCTTGAGGTGGCCCCAATAGAACACACTGCCATTGCTGTTCTTGGGCCCTTGCCTGAGACAGAGGCTGGCAATCAATATTTGTTGGTAGCTATGAACATAAAATGGCCTGAGGCTTACCCAATAAGAAATTGAGAGGCTGTGACATTAGCTGAGGTCCTAGTGAATGAGTTTTTCACCAGATTTGGGGTCATGAGTAAATTATATACAAAGCAAGGGAGAAACTTTGAATAAAAAGTGTTTCAGTTGATTTGTGAGATTCTAGGGATCCACAAAACTCATAATTCCCCAGTACATTCACAATCTAATGGCACGGTGGAAAGGTTCAATAGGACTTTGGGGGTTCAGCTGGCCACTTTTGTAGCATAGCACTAAAGGGACTGGGACCAGCATATCCCATTCCTTTTGATGACTTATGGAACAACAATCAATGGGAGTGCGTGTACCCCAGCATTCCTCATATTTGGGCATGAACTGAGGACCGCAGCAAACCTCTTGTATAGTGTTCCTGAAGAGGAACAAATGGACTTGAATGATTTGGACTCTGGAAACCCTACAATCCAAAATTGAAAAAGTTCATACCTTTTCTAGGGAAAATTTGAGGTTAACCTTTGAAGAAATAAAAAGGCTGTCTAAGGTCATATGGGGAAATTTAAGA